CAGCAAGCTTTCATAGTGATCTTTACATTGTCTTGGTTTTATGGTGTGTATGTGTGCTTTGCCTGTATTTTTACCGAAAGTATAAAATTCCATACCTCTGTACATTGCTTCCCTCCGATGTATGTATTGATTTCTTGACATTTCTGATCCCATGTTTTATTCTTTTCTTGTTTTATCATTTTTCGTGGTTGTCTATCGGTTTCTTTGTAAGCTTGATGGTCTTCAGTATTTTTTGTATTTAGCCATTTTAGATGCTGTTCTTTTTTCTGTTTTACCATATATTCGATTTCTTCGTTCCACCATATTTTGTTACTAATTTTGTTTTGCTGTATCCCGAGTGTCTCCTTAGAGGCCTGGTGTAAACTAGCAATAATATTCTCGTAAATATCTAAAAATGTTTGTCTCTCTATTTCTCGTAGTTTTTGATCCAGTCGTCGTTGATATAGCTGTTTAGTACTATCATTTATAAAACTATTGAAGTTGTACTTCGGAGTGTCCACTGTCTGCACGTCTTGCTTGTCTTCTAGGTTTTGGTCTCCGTGTATTATCTTAAGTGGGAACAAAATTTTCGCTCTTACCAACTAGTGATCGGATCCACATAATATTCCTCGGAGAATTCTTACATTATTTCACTGCAATACAGATTTTTGTTTAATAATAATATAATCGATGACTGATTTTAGATTGCGTGTTTGTTGAATCCAGGTATATCTATGTATGTCGTTATGTTTGTAGAATACATTGCTAATTTTTAACTCATAGCTCTCACATAAGTGTATAAGTCTACCGTCATTATCATTAGTTGCCATTTCTCCAAAAGGTCCTACTACTCTACTGTTTTTCTGATATCCCGTTCTACTATTGAAGTCTCCAAGCATAATTATTTCTGTTTCTTCCTATGTTGTTAAGTATATCCTCGATTTTTTAAAAGAAACCTTCTTTCACGTTGATTGTTGTATAATCAGAGGGGCATAAGCGGCTATCATGGTAATCTTGTGCCCATATATGTCTACATGTACTCTTAGGATATTCTCATCAATTGTTTCCCAGTCTGTGATATTATTCTTAAGTTTTTTCTTTATTAGTATTGATACTAGCCAGCGGCTCTTTTATCTTTCAGGACTCTAGTCAATATATGTATATAATTTCCTACCATATCAGTGCCAGTTCCTTTTTTCTTTGTTTCAGTTAGTGCTATAATATCCATTTTCATTTATTCTAGATCAGGCATAATGATATTAATCTTCTGTTTTATCCCCTGTATATTCCATGTACCAATATTCATAATCCGTTTTCTTAGATTTGGTCGTTTCCTTGAAAACCCATTTAAAGTTCCGAGGCTTTTTGGTATGTTAAAATTTTGACGAGTATTGGAGAACCAGTCCAATGCCACAACCCTCAACCTGGAGGACCGGGTAATTTGTGATTAAGGTTTTGTTCCTCTAGCCTTTGACGATCCAACGACTATAACTACAAGACAGCAGCTTGATTATATACAAACGCTAAAATCAAAAGTTGCCACTTCCGCCCTCCATGCCGTAGTGAAGATATTCTTCCCCGCCACGAATGCCATTGTGGACTTCATCCGTAACCCTGGACAAGGATCCTAAACAGGTACTAGTTTCCCGGGCCAGGAAACACCTGGAATCTGCGGAAGGCAGGGATTGATTCATTTTCCCTGCTAGGACTATCCAATGGACTACCCCATGGTATAATAAACTACAGAGGTATCATATTGCGCACGGTCGCTCGATCTTCGGCCAGAGCGTGACGTCAGTTGCAGCGTAGCAGCAGTGTTCCCAAACCTACTGATTTCGCCGCTTTTCTACCGATGTATCGCTACCGAATTTTATATTCAGATAGAAATTTTTACTTTTTCTTAAATTTGAGAAGAAATATGTAAGAGACAATACAATTTTTCTTGCGATACCTGTAATTTGCATTGAGCATTTTTGTGTACTCACAAAAACGTGTGAAAACATTCAAAAATTTATTCTTAAATGATACCTAAGCGGTCCTTTACAAAGTACATGATGTAATAAAAGCTAATAATACAATAATAAATGAATCAAAATTCATTGTGATCCCGACCGCTTGGTTCTGGGAATTTGTCAAGTATTAGGAGACTTAAAACCAGAACAACGCAATTTTAATCTAAGCTTCCGAGTGCACCTCACGTAAAAACTCGGTAGTCTGTTTGTTGTATAATATTTCCTTCTAAAAGGGTTTTATACTCGAGGTTTCAGTTTTTGGCTAAGTATTCAA